ATTAAGGGTGATTGGAAAGGAGAACCCTTTTTTTTTTTTTTTTTAATTTTTTGATTTAGGGTACTTGATTCTTTGAATTAAGCAGGTGTTAGCGATGTAGTTATGGACAGAAAATTTGCACTAAATGGTGTGCAAACTTGTTGTCCATATTTGTTTCCTTTGCATGTATAAACTAAGTAGGTAGAGAACTGCTTTCTTTGTAGCTTTATGTGCATTATCAGCTGTGAATCTTGTGTAAGATAATTAGATAAATAAGAAACATTCATCACCTTACCATGTTCAAGCTAAAAAGGCTAAGTGTACTTCTGACGAATCAACTGTGTAATTTGCAAGTGATACCTAAGATTTTTACTAACAATATAAACTTCGCATTGGACTTTGCCTGTCTCAATATCACTAGGTTAGTTCCGGGTGGTATTTATGCATTTATGATTCGGGATTTGTTATTATGCTTTTATTTGTGCTGAGAATGGTAAATTTTTCCTGTCATTTTGTCTATTTCTGGAGTATAGCTGTCCACTAGTTTTCTCCTCCTTGCTCAGGAATAAAGGGAAATTGGGTAAAGTCTTATTTTGGACAGGCTTTATTAATGCTTTGTTGGTCCACTAATATCCTATGACAGCTCTTGCAATTGTCTGTTGTTTTGGCGTGCTATTTGAGTTTTGAAAATGCTAGTATCTTTATTTGGGGCAGAGCCTAGATAAAACTTAAACAGCACTCCTGCTGTCCTACATTGTGCTAGTTGCTTTATTTTCTCTAGCCATGTAAGATATACCTTAATGGTGGGCTACTTTCTTTTCTACCTATTGCTCGGATAATATATCAGCATGCTTACAATTTGTTCCTGTTGGTTGTTGCTGCTGAATGTCTGAATTTAACTTCTTCATGGCCAATTAATGAATTAAGAATACTATTTATTTATTTCCCTTGGCAGGTGATGTTCATGGTCAATTTTCAGATCTTCTACGCCTGTTTGAGTATGGTGGGTACCCACCAGAAGCCAATTATTTATTCCTAGGGGACTATGTTGATCGGGGTAAGCAGAGCATAGAAACCATATGCCTTCTTCTTGCGTACAAAATCAAATACAAAGAGAACTTCTTTCTTCTCAGAGGCAATCATGAATGTGCTTCAATCAACCGTATTTATGGGTTCCATGATGAGTGCAAGAGAAGGTTCAATGTTCGTCTCTGGAGGACATTTACTGACTGCTTTAATTGTCTGCCTGTTGCTGCTCTAATTGATGAAAAGATCCTTTGCATGCATGGTGGGCTATCTCCTCATTTGAACAACTTGGATCAAATCCGCAATATTGCTCGCCCTGTCGATATACCAGATCAAGGTCTTCTGTGTGATCTCTTGTGGGCTGATCCTGATAAAAATGTTAAAGACTGGGGAGACAATGATAGGGGTCTCTCATGTACATTTGGGGCAGACACGGTTGCTGAGTTTCTTCAGAAACATGACCTTGATCTCATCTGCAGAGCTCATCAGGTAATGAAATTTAGATTGAGATTGACCTTCCTATAGCTGGCTTTGACAAGTAAGCCCCTGCTTGCATTTTTGGAAAATTTTCCATTTGTTTTAATTGAATTTCCACTAATTGAAATCATTTAATGCTCAGTATTGCTTTATTAACACCATGTGCTCATATCAGCGCCCCTGGAAACCATTTTCTTGGTGTCAGTAAGTTCAGGCATTTAACATTTCCATCTTGTGAGTTCTTTCTCCTCTTCTTTTCTTATATTTTACTACTTCACCAGGTTGTACAAGATGGTTACGAGTTCTTTGCAAATAGGCAGCTGGTTACCATATTCTCTGCACCAAACTACTGTGGTGAATTTGACAATGCGGGTGCCATGCTGAGTGTTGATGATACTTTGA